TATTTCAACTAATTGAAATCATTGAAAACACTTAAAATATTTGAACTACTTGAAACCCAGTGTATTCCTACAGTGTTTAGGAGAATTGAAGTTTTGAACCCCATCAATTATCTGTCTGTATGTAATAACGGTAACATCCTGCAAGAATTAAATACTGATCACTTGTAAATTGTAATGTGATGTAAAAAGCAGCTGTGAAGAACAGATGATATGTGGTTTGTCTTAAGGCTTTTACAGTTTGGCCAGCAAACCCACTGATGCATGCAGGACCTCTTTAAATCAAAGTTGTTTGGTCAAGAATCAAACTAGATTTGGTGCTGTGAATGCACATGTTCCTTTCTTGGATCACCTAGGGGATTAAGATTTCTTGAACTGGAAACATAACTGGGCAAATAGATTTTGTACAGGATCTGTTGACTGGGGTAGAGTAGCAAGCTGCATGATGCAATTTATATGTGGAAATTATTATAATATCCAGCTTAGGAAATACTCTAGTCCTTATTGGTGATGTGCCAGGACTTCCAGTTTTACAGTCAGTCACAATTTTGTCTTTCTGCCTCACTGTTAGCCTCACTATTGCCATGGGGAAGAGTACCATACGGAGAGCAGCAGGGGCTCGGACTTGTCTGACATTATGGAGGAAGACGAGGAAGAGCTGTACTCCGAAATGCAGCTGGAGGATGGAGGAAGACGAAGAGTCAGCGTGACTTCACACAACGCGCTCAAGGTAAGAGCGACACAAAAGAACACTTAAGAGCATCTCTGTATTTCTTGTTCTTCCTTCAAGGCATTTTTAAGGTCAATTTTGGATTTTGCAGACCTGCTGTGGTATAGCCATAGATCTGGGGTGCAGACTATTTATGATTTCAAGGCCACCTTTAATACATGGAGTGCTTTTTTTTCCCCCATTATTTAATAGCTAGTGTTTTAGCTAGTTGACTCTATTCTTATGTGTAACTGTGGAAGTTGCTATTTCTTTTTTGTATTTAGGATCTTTTGCATGCTTATACAACAAAATACTGGACATGCTACCCAGAAGATGATTTGTTTCTGGAGAAGGAGGTTTACCTAAGCAAATATTCATGTGGAAAAAATAGCTTTTCATGTCTGAGGAATTCTTTCCCTTTTCCCCACCAATGCCATCTCTTCCTCAGGTTTTAAAGCATGCTTATAAGAGAGAGATTTGGGTGAGTTTTGTTTGATTAATGTGTTTTCAGAAATACACTGTTTATTAAGGAATCACCAGAGGCGATAGGAAATATCTATCAGCAATACTGCTTTAACCCTACATAGGAAGTTTCATTGTGAAAGACAATTGTATTACTACAATTAAAGTGTATGTAAGTTGTTGAACTTACCCAATACAGAATGTGTATTCCCCATGGTGTATTTGTATGTGTAAGTTGTATCTGCTTTTTATGTCTGGCAATTATGCTATATTGTATTTTCTTAGCAAGTTGGATAATTTGAATGATAAGGAAGCTGCAGATGGGTTTTTCCTCCAACATGCTGCTATGAAACTTTAAAATCATACTGTTTTCTCATGGGTAGAAGATTTTTAGCCATTGTTACAGCAGTTTCATATACTGTTGTTTCGATATCATCTGCAATGAGACAGATACTTTATCAAAAAAAAAACTTTTTAATTTTAATTTTTTAACTTTTACTTTTTAACTTTAACTTTTTAACCTTTTTAAAGCAATATTTCATTTTTTTAACATAAAGCTTGAAATTGAAATCCCACACTGTGCTGCTTCTGTCCTTTTCCTCTGGGAAAATGATGACGTATCCTTAGACTATTATTTATGCATCAGGAAATACATTTACTTTTTGTTTTTACATTAGTATTGTCTAGGTCAATATCTGAATCAAGGGTCCAGACTCTTAGTTGGTGTAGAAAATCATTTTAGGCCTGTTAAAGTCTGCACAGATACCTCTGTGGACGTAATGAGTTCACTCATTCTGCAGAAGTGAGATTCAGGATGTGAGAATATTGCTCACCGTGCTGATCAATGCACTGATGTAAAAGTCAGGTCCGGTTCAGGTCCCAAAGTGCTTCATAGTTTCCCTTTTACTAGATCCAATCCCATTTCATAAATCTATAATTAACAATAACAACAACAAAAAAACTATTTACTGAAATTTCCAGACAGTAATCTTAAGATGCGTGTTCCATTTGCACCTGAAAGGATTCCAACCATCCACTTTCAGCTGTGATTGAACATAGCTGACATTCAGGATTGCTCCGCCAAGTTAATAGATATTTCAAGTATCAGGGGAATGTTTCAAATTTTTCATATAACTCGCTTTATGGGGAAATTGTTTTCCTCCAGTGTTCCCTCCAGTGTTTCCTCCTGTTCCCTCCAGTGGGTCCCTAAAACAAGGGCTGGTGTGGGTGATACAGGCAGGATTCAAATTGCTTATCAGATCGGAGCTTTCTAAAACATGTGTTATTTGAACCCAAAACTACCCCTATTGGTGTTTATTAACATTTTTTTTCTGTTTTATCAGCAGTTTTTCATAAAATTTTCACAAGTTTGGTATATATTCAAAAAAGAATTAAAAGAGCTCAAATAAATATAGTGACAAAATCCCTGGGTATGACATTCCAAAGCCAGTTAAGCCTATATGCTCAGAGAAGGAGGAATTGCTGAAGTCTCCAAGGAGATCCGATCATTATTCCTGGCTGCTGTTGTCTGCAGAGACCTGGGAGAAAGCGCCCAGAGAGGGAATCTCCCATAGAATCTAGAAACCTGTAAAATGAAAAGCAGCAGCTCTTGCATCATCATTCTCATCTCTTCTCAGAGGCCAGCAAAGATGCCACATAGCATTCTTCTGTTACACCAACCAATATTTTGTGTAATTACAATGGAAAAATGCAAAGGAAAAAAATATCTGTCCTGTTCAGAACGTTTGTTTGATCCAGGCTGGGGATAGCATTTACTTCCCTCAGTTACAAATAGATGCCGTTGTATTAATAGGTTGTTTTTTAAATACGAGTTTTATCAAGCAGGTACAAGATTATGATGAGAAATTTGATGATGGTGCAGACCAGTGGCACCAGAAATCAGCCTGCTCTGCAGGGCTTTTTGTGTGGAAGCCAAGCCTCAAAAACGGTGTAGCTTTTTTGTAATTTTGCAGAGGAAGCCAGAGCTCCAAGTTTGCAAAATAGCTCTCCTCTGGCAGGAGATCTTCAAGTATTTTGCTATTCACATAGGATGCTTTAACAGGTGCAAAACAAGAAAGCTTGTTAGAGCAGAATTTTCCTTCTCAGATAAGGTTTGTGGTTACAATATAAATCAAAAACCAAAATTTGGCATGGGGCAAGGAGCATACTAAGCATTAGTGCTGTGTTTTAAAGCCATTCTCATTCACCGTGCTGGAACCTGTATGCAGCTTTTATTGCTTTGTTTTGAGTGCATGGGTCTATTCTTGTTAGAGCATCACCCAGTTGTTTGTACAGACCTGTCATGTTGGATCTGACACCCAGCAACTTCTTAATCATGTCTTTATTTTCACAGATTCTCATTCAAAGCATGACATCCTTTTCACTAAATAAGCTGCATGTCTTACGTTTGCCATTGCTCTAAAACTAATTCTGTCTTTATTTTTCTTTTCTTCTCCCCTTCCCCTCCCATTTTATTTTGTCACACACTCTTTGTTCCTTGTCTGGTTTTTAATATTACATAATCTTAAGGAGTGCGATAAGAATAAGACCACTGAAGCCACTTTTTTGGAACAGCCTGACTTTTCACAGCAAAAACATCACAGTAAAAAGCTTTTCAGTATTCCAGAAGTAGCTGAAGAAGATGGTGAATACTCTGAGCTGCTGTACAAGCAGGGTTTAGGTGTGCCCTATAGAAAGAACCCCATCATAGCTAGAGATGCTAGAGCACCTAGGCACTACAATCAAGACCAGCACAACTTCTGGTACCCAGCCAAACACAGACTTGCAGGTATGGAGGATTTTGCTTCAGACGACAAAGGATGCAAATACAGTCGATCCTTATCAAGAAGCCCAGACAGCGGATTAGACTGTGGAAGTGAAGAAGAAGAATCTCGCTTTAATTTCAGATACACTTGCAACTCAGTTTCTGCCAACGTTGCCTCTAGCTGTTGTGCAGAGACTGCTCCCTGTTCCTGCAGGAAGAGCATGAGGCCGTTGCTTGCTCGCAGGAAAACCTTAACCAGGCAAAGCAGCATCGAGGAAGATTTTGGTGACCTGGGGCCTTCCTTTGGAGAGCCCAGGAGTGAACAGGTCAAGTCCAGTTACGAGAAAAAGTACGAGACTCAGAAATGTGCTAGAACAGATAATTTGTCTAATGAAGATGTGCAGGGAGGCTGGAAGACCGACTTTAAGGCTGACTCTAGGGCATCTGGTCCACTTGCAAAGTCATCCCACAGAGATGCTGAAGACTCTCTGGTGTGTGAAATAAATCTTCCTTCTAACATCTGCTTGCCAAATCAGTTTTCTTCCTCTTGTTCTATTTTATTTATCTTTATCTTTTTTTTTCTCTGAATTACTTTTTAGAGTCCATCTTCTGGGCCTATCTGCTGCATTCCCCCCTTCTCCCCGCCCTCCCATTCACTTTTGTTTATTATTCTGCATTTTGCTTTACAGTCTTCTTTTGTGTCACGCTGAAATCAATTTAATTTGCTTTACAATGATTTTCCCACAGAACGAATTACAATAATGGCTGCTTTTATTAAAGGACAACTGAATCTAAATTTTAATTAAGGGTTAGCTGAACTATAATTTTCCAAGAGATCGTTTTTCTTTATTTTGCCCATCTAAATGTTGTTTTACAAAAAGCCATATTTTAACTGGAAAAATACTTCATCAGTAATTATTATTTTTAATGTTTGTCTTGAGGATTCCATTTCATTGTGTTGCTTTTATTCATCTCATGTGTCAGAATTTTCAGGATATGCTCTTTATCATGAAGCATCTGTGGACAAGAATCAAGCAATCCCCAGTGTGACAGTGACCCAGATTTGTGGAGTCACAGGTTCATCATATTTCCATTTTCTGCCTTTTCTCTGCGCTCTCACTACTTTGCCTTCCTTTTTAGACCATCTCTTCTTGCCTTTGAAGTTGCAGACTGCATCTCCGCATGAGAATGCAGGCAAACAGCTTCTTCCAAAGGGAGAGGCCAGGGCAGATCCGTAACTTTCCAGGATGCCTGTGTGTGATCTTGCCTATTTGCATTTCTGTCCATTAATCTATAGTAGAGTCTGCATGCTTTGATAGGTGCATCCATAGGCTTCCCTGCTCCCCAAAGACCAAAGCAAGTGCTTTTCTGTCTCAGTCTGCAAGAGTCCAGAGTGGAAATCTTAAATCTAATGTTTCATGTAAGAATAGAAATCAGCTACCTGTTCTTCTAGACCAGTTTATTCTGAAATCTAGATCTAGATCTGAATCTAGATCAGCTTATTCTGAAATGGTTCTTTACAATTTTGCCCATTAAAATTGGTGCCAGGTCTCAATCGCTGCATGATAAACCCTGAAGACCATTAAAATAGAATCATTTAGTTATAAAAAATAACAACATGTTCTGCAAGGTAGCAAGCAGAGAGAGACAGCTGTGATGTGAGATGAAGTGTGTCTGCACTCCCTTCTACACGTTTCAGTGACCTCTAAAAGGCTTTAGCAACAGAAGGCCGTTCTTAGAAAAAGCTGTTTTTGCAAAGACAGAAGAATGTGCACTCGTTCCCATGCTGCAAACTGGACAAAACCGTGTAGCTGAGAAGAGAACAGGCCTATCTTCTCAGTAGCGCACAGCTCTAATGACTGGTTGTTCTCCTCGGGAGCTCCTAGCGTCATCCTAGCAGCAACAACAAAGGCAAAAGAATGTTTCCCAAACAATTCTTTTCTTTTTCTTTTCGTTCTGATGTGTGACTGCTGTTTACAAAACTCTGCCATAAGTCAGGGAACCATTTTTCCTTTCGCAGGTTTGCTAGGCAACAGTTACTCTTCAGCTAACCTTTGAGTTAAAAACTAAGTTTAGTTGCCTTTAGAGCTTATGCTTCCAACCGTGATTGACCTGATCCATGTCCAGGCATGTAGTCGTTAATGGTGCCACCCGGTGTAACTCACAAAACTGTTCTTTTTCTGTTGTTTTTTTTTTAGCTTTTAGGTAATCCATCAGCTGCAGGACGGCCTGACAGGGTGGAGCATGCGGGGCGGAGGTCCTCTCATGGCAGTGCAGTGCCACAAAGGTCTCGACCAATGTTGGTCCCTTCCATTGGTTAGTTGGATGGATTGGTGCATTTCTGTGCTTTGCAGCCTCCGAGTTGGGCGAGCGGTCCTTAAAGCAGGAGCAGTGGAAGCTTGCCTTGGACCACGGTTACTCCTGGCTTCCTAAATGGGGTGAAAAAAACTAAAAGCATCTCCATAGAACTATGAGCCACATATGAGCATCCTGGGGTTGCACGGGGGCCTGAATCAGAATCCATTGACATCACTGGGAGTCTTTTGATCGGATTTAGTGAGCATTGGAGCCTTTCTGAGTTCAGTTTAGATAAGATACTGTCAGATGTTACCTAAAAAGAAGTGATAGTAGCAGGATGCTACTATGCTATTGAAAAAACAAATGTAATCACTCACCCATTTAGCCATCCATTCAGCCATCCATCTCTCCATTCATCAACCATCACTTTGCATTCACTTTCCATTTTCTTAACTGCTTTTTGGAATGAAGCAGGAAAAATGGAAGTTGTTAAATACAACAAATTAGAAACTTGCATATATTTACCGCAATTGCCGTTTCTAACGGAGTCATGCCTGTTCTGGATTACTCATGACTTAAAATATATGCTGGTGTGTACCAGAAAATCCAAAAAGTAGTGCAGAAAAGATAATGGAATGAAGACACTATGGACAAATACGTATCTGTTAAAATTTGTGCTATACACTGACAAATATGGAATATTCACACTGAAAGTCAGGAAACACAAGCGAAAGAACACATGCAGGAAGTGAACTATTAGCAGAAATGTTTTTCCATGAAGGCATGCAATCACCCTGGTCCCTATTTCTAACCTGGACTTTAATTTGGGAATATTCTAGGCATCATCAGGAGGCCCAGGAAGTGTCAGGCAATTCTCACCTGACATTTATGTGAGGAAGATGCATCACAAATGGGGACTGTAGTAAGGATAAGGGAATGCTGCTGTTTTTAAGTTTTAAATATTTTGTCCCTTTTCATAGGCTCACATTAGAATCACAGTTCTCTAAATTTAAAGAATAATCCTCCTAATGGGCAGTTATTTGGTACCCGCTGAACGGTAAATGAAGCCGTGGTACTAATGAAGCCACAGATGAGAAAAAACATTACTGTAATTCTTAGTATCCGCAGTGCAACGTGACTGCTCAGAGGTCTGATTCTGCTCCTGTATCCTGGTGTAACTCAGAATTATCTTCACAGATGTCAATGGAGTAACACTGGTACCAAACGGGATGGAGAGAAGTGGCTCCACGGAGCCTTTGTGCATCTGACAGGTTCTTGTTAGCTGAACCAAATAGCTTGCAGGTGATGGTATCAGGTCTCGGTGGGGTTTAATGGCCCTTTGCTTTTGGTCTGAAAGCACTCTTCCTTTCTCAAGAGAAAAGATTTTTGGTTTATGTTTAGACTGCTTAAAAGTAGTTATCTATTTAAGTTCTTTCATATTATCTGGTAAAACTTTTTTTTTTTCATAAACAGTGGGAGAGTGGGTTAAATTAGATTTATTTGTGTGAATCAATCCTTTGGGTCTCCTTTTCAATTCGATTTTAAATGAAAAACAAGAGAAATGATGAATTTTATCAGTGCTCACTTTCTGTCAACAAAGTTGAAACATCAAAAATATTAAATAGTGGTTTCATTGTTTAGTAGTTTGAGAGCAACATTTTTGAAATGAGATAAAGAAATTAATTTCTTATAATCAGTCTATGCTCAAACAGATAACAGGAAAAAATCTTCATTTCTTTCAGTAAAACTTAAAGAATGAATTAGTGTATTTCGTGCTGAGTATCAACAGATGCTCTTTGGGGAAGCTGCCTTAGAAATGAATTACAACATTGTCTTACGCTGATAACATACAAACTACAGAACAATATGTTCAGTATCAAAAAATAATTTGCTGTAAAACTGATGGAAGGCCGTATGTGGCTTAGATTTCAAGAGACCTGATTCTGACTAAATAGACTAGTTATTAAAAATACTGAAAGATTTGTATGCCTTACCTCTCACTTTCAGCATTGAGCTTTAAGAAATGACTTGAAGGAGAATTGAGACAAATATAAAGTGCAGAAAAGCTTCTTCCTGGAAGCTTGTTGGAAAAAAATCTGGAGGATGTGAATTGTATCAGCAGGTCAGATAGACAGAGTTCAAAGTAGGGAGCCAGAGCATAGAGCAGAGCATTGTGTAAACTTCATCCTGCTGTTTAAAACACCTGCTGAGTAGTGAGAAAATTTCCCATGAGTAAGGGCTGCAAGTGGGGTTTTAGAAGGAAATTATTTTGGTTCTGTCTTTGTAATATAAAGTTCTGCAAAGGGCGGAATAGATAACATAGGAAAAACAAAGTAAGATTAAGCCAAATTTTAGAATGTGGGGTTTTTGTTGTTGTTGTTTTTTTAAAAAAGGACACATTAACCTCAGTGTATAGCTTAAAAATATGGTTTCCTGGTTTCCTAATAGCAACTTATTCCCCTACATGCATGCCTGGAGTAGTCACTGAATTATTCAGCAGCACTAAAGGGTTGCCTCAGTGATGGAAAATTCCTTATACAGTCCTGCATAAGGGTTAAATTAGGGGGAAAGACTAAAGTTATAATCTTCTTAGGATTCCAGTGATCAAATCTTTCTCTAAAAGATTCTGAAAATTAGTTTTTAAATTATTTTCTCCATTAACTTTAAATGATACTCTAATGAGCTCTAAATACTTTGGATTAGCATTTTCTTTTAGGTAGGAGTTAAGTCAATTAACTAAGTTTTGTTTTTAGGTTGTATACTTTAGAAGGTGAAGCACAGTTTACAGTGCTCCTGACCTTGCAGATCTGGCAGGTAGGATTATTGAAACCTCATAGGAGATGATGCCTACCTGTAGAGTTAACAAGCAATATTTACCCAGTGTGAATTTTAACAAGAACAAAATTAAGATGCTTTAAAAAGGAGATGCCTATTTCTGTGGTTTTTCCCCCATTAAAGTATTTCTAGAGGCTGAGACAGACACCTGGCAAAGCTTACGCCACTGTATGTGAGTCAGAAAAGAAGATAGGCAAAGCCTGCCCTCGGGAGCCTCCGCAAAGGAGACTATACAATATGTTTTAATAGATCATTCCCTTTTTCTCCGTAGAAATTACAATGGACAGTAACAGTGAAGGCGGTCAGTCTCGGTCAGGTAGTGAGGGAAATATTTCACCTGTAAAAGAAGAAGCTTATTATCGCAGCATTGGACACAAGAAATGGCCTCAGCAGCGTACCATGGCCTCTGAATATAGATACGGTATGCCGACCATTCTTCATCCTTTCTGCCAGACGCATTGTAGAGCTGCGTGTTCACACGTGCGGTTTCTGTCTGCCAACTTTGCATGCAATGCAGAATGCGAGGGGAAGGAGCTCGTAGGGCTGCTCTGCCCGGCTCCCAGGTAAGTGTCCCCAGCCGTAAGGGACATCCCGCCCGTAGCCATCTGTCCTGAAAGCGCCGTGCGGCCGCCTTTCCATATCCAACCGAATCCAAGCACACTGCATTGCATGAAGCCCTGTGAAGCTGCGCTGCTAGGAATGCCAGTCAGTATTTACTGTACGTACCCGAGCCCTCGTTCATCCAAAAACGGCTGCGTTGCCACCTGGTTCGTGGAGATCGAATAGGGTCAACCCGTAGCTGCTCTATCACAACCCAATGTCCTGGAATAGGAAGAGGTATTGCCGGGTGTTATTCCGATATATCACTTAGGCTAACGGTTGATTCACACTGACTGCACTGGCCTTTGGCTCTGTCACCTGGGGAAGCAAAAAATATTTTTAGGAGTAATTAGACCCAAATGACAAACTTGCATTACATAAAAACCCACTACTGATAGTATTTGTTGCATCATCAACATAGAAATCATTACATGACCAACAACTCAGTTTCCATAGCTCATAACACAGTAAACTGAAGTGTCTGACAAATAATCCATAGAAGCAGCCTGGGCCATATATAGAGCTAGAAGAGGATTCAGCTTTTCACAAGGGTCCCTGAAAATTTAGGTAAATTGTAATTTAATGTTGAATTTCCAAACAAACATATCTGACCAGATCATCAACTTGTGTAAATCAGTTTTTATCTAATGAATTCAATGCAATGATTTACACCCATTGGGACCTGGCTGGAGGCATCCAAAGACTGCAGTTGTACCTATACAGTTATACATGTGTGTGCATGTCTAATATGCACACACCTTCTTGACAGAATAAAGTAACAGACTAATGAACTACTCAAGAGATGTTTGTGGTCTGTTTGACTGAAGCAAACAGGACTGTTCTGAGTCAGGGCTATTGCACTTCAGTGCTTCTAATCGAGATGCACGTGGCCATCATTCAGACTTGCATGGAGCTGCCATTAACTGCAGTTGGCGTTGGATGCAGAAATGGATCTTTTCAATTTAGAAAAGGAATAGAGATCCCTAAACATCCCTGTTTCCCATTGCCTGGTGGGCCTGATGAAACATAAAATGAACACAACAGGGAAGAATCCCGTTCCTTATGTCCCGTTGCTTTCTGTCCCACACGTGCCCTTCTCCCACATCTCCTTTCTGTGCTTTGTGCTTGCATAAAGCTTGTTGGCTGGAATTTTTTCCCTACCCTTTTGCTGTCCTGCATTTCCCCTCTTGACATTCTTTCTTGCGCTCTGAACCCAAGAGTCAGTAGCTGCTGCCTTAAAGCTGTGCCCCTCTGAAATTTTCTTCCAGTAGTTTAAAAATGTCAAATGTTGTATCAAATGCATCTGACTTGGAGGGAAAAAGAGGAATGTTACCAAAAAATGTTAAAACAAATGCTTGAAATATTTCAGAAAATGGGAGTCTTTAATTTGTAAGAGATGATTACAGTATTACTATGAAAATGGTATATTAAAAAAATGAAAGAGTTAATGCATTTTCATTGTAGATCACAACACTGTATTCTCAATTTACCATATAAAGATCTTGCAAACTGGATCATAAGTATTGATTCATCAAAGAATGTAGCAAAAGTACCCAACTCCCATTGAAGTTAGTGGGACTTGCACAATAAGCCAAGATTTTCAAAAGTGACTTTTGAGTGCTTTATTTTGGGGGTGCGTCTTCAGTTTCATGCGTTTTGAAAGTGCCTGTTTTGGGGGAAAATGCTACTATATGCTCTTTCAAAACAAAATTAAAAGCTGTTGAAAGCTGTCAAACAAAACATTTATTGTTAGCTGTTTTGCCTAGATGTTTTACTGAAATACATCCTTGCGTTGTTGAATCACAGCCTAAATTCATTCTCCGAGTCACTTGAAATCTCTAAAATATGTATGAGACAAAATGTCAGTTCCCTCTTTGTGTCCCAGTTGATTTTAGTTCCCTGCTGTGGAGTTCAGTGTGGTGTCAGTGTTGTGATATTCAAGGGGGATCTTTCCTAATGAGCCCGTGGTTAAAGGCTCTACTTAACCATTCCTCTGGATTTTAACGCACTTTGTTAGTGTTTCGTGTGGTTTTGGGGCACTGCTATGTAAGCTATTGACTGTTCTTGAACTAAGTCATGGGTAGCGTAGTTCCAGCCCTGGCAAACTAACACGACTGAAGTGTATCTTCTTGCTGGTCCGGAGAGAAAAGGGTATAACCATGTTTTAAACTTGGTGCCTAAAACATGGTACATCAAAACACAGCTTGGATGTGCATTCTTGTGTCCAAGAGCAGAAGCAGCTGGGCTGGAAAACATCCAAAGCATGGTTATTTTTGCAGCCTACAAGACTCATGTCACTTTTACATGCTTCATCAGTTTATAGCAACTCTAATAAACCTAACAAAATTTGCTTTCTTAGCTGAATTATATTAACGTGTGTGTAAATGTCAGTGTGGTGTAGGACATAACACCACATTCAGTGCATGCAGATTGAATGTGTTTTAAAAATATATAACATTTAAAAAACATTTAAAAAACCCTGAAACTTATTAGGACATGTTTCAAGTTGTATTTTCCACTGAAATGCCAGACACTTTTCAAATATAAACTGGAGCAAGTTGAAATATGAGGCCAGTTTGTATCACTGAGTTGTTCTTTTCTGACTTCACTTTCATAGATGGCTATGGTCATGACCATCTTTCTCCAGATATTTATGAAGAATCAGAAACAGATCCTGGCACAGAGGATATTTCTACTCGAATATTTGTTGCGCTCTTCGACTACGATCCATTGACCATGTCCCCAAACCCTGATGCTGCGGAAGAAGAGTTGCCATTTAAAGAAGGACAGATCATTAAGGTGGGATCTAAAAGCAAGGATAGAAAGGCGCAGTGTTCCCAGCAGGGTCTGCTTTGGTCCCTGCAGTGAAAACAGCCTGCGTAGCCAGAGTCCACCCATTTTTTTTGCTTCCAGAGGTTTGGGCTCTAGATCTCATTGGGTGATAGTGACTTAAAAATGTTTAAATAGCAGGCAAAAATCTCAAAGTTGCCTCAAGTATTTAGGGACGGATTCAGTTAAGAGATTAAACGTCTAAATCCAAAATTGGGACTGTGAAGCCACCTGCTCACCATTAGCCAGAAGCTCTATAGAAAACTGCTTCAGAGATGCCGTCCTCTTGACTGCAGAGCTACTACAATTGCCTGGCCTTGTACCTTCATGCATAACCAGCGGCTGCGATATTTTGAAGGCTGAGCATTTTAATTAATACGGATTAACACACTTGAATTAATAATTTTTATAGCAGGCTTAACACGTGGGGCCAGCCCTCTCACAGTTTGCAACTTTCACAGCTTTCACACCACAACTTTCTGAGGCTTCCCACCAGGATGGGGACAGCAACTCATTGAGCACAGTGCAACAAGAAATGCCATAGGAGTTGTTCCATAAACATATACATCCAATCTGTAGTCACTTGTCTATGACTTAGTAACCCTTTTTCATGCATTAAAAATCATAAATGATAAAACTGATTGACCAACACTATTATTCTTTGCAAACAGGTTTATGGGGACAAAGATGCTGATGGATTCTATCGAGGTGAAACCTGTACAAGAATTGGCCTTATCCCATGTAATATGGTCTCTGAGATCCAAGCAGATGATGAAGAGATGATGGACCAGCTTCTAAAACAAGGTTTTCTTCCTTTGAACACGCCAGTTGAGAAAATAGGTAAGGGGAAATATGTATGCTTCAGCCAACTTTTGGGTGCTGTTAACCTGGCTGGATCCGCTTTGCCTTTGTTTCTATTATATGCAGATGCATCTAAATTTTACAGCAATTTACCACATTATGGGATACATTCTGTGTCAGTATCTTGATGACATTATTCAACAAATACATATAATCTTGGTTCCACCGTTTTCGTAAATGAGGACTTGAATCTTCACTGCTTCACCCATTATTTTATTTTTTATTAAAGTCTTTTTCTGTCACCAGAAAGATTCCTAGACACAGAACAAGATCCCTCTGCTTTGGAGTGTGCTGCGCTGAGATGCTTTGTGATATGCTCACTGCTGAAAAGCATAAAAAGAATCACTTATTTGTTGTTCTTTTTACTCTTCTACATTTTCCTACTTTACCAATAATTGAAAGGGATGGTGGCAAAGGGTTATGTACAATATAATTTGGGATAACTCTACGTATTAGGAGCTATTACAGATACTGCAATAACAAACCCCTTAAAAAGCAGATTTTGACCAAGTGTTTCTCTGTTACGGATCAGTAGTATTAAATCACTGGTTATGTATTGTACAGAGATGCACATACAAGTATCTTAAGCTTCTTTCTGAAGATACGTTTTATGCAGCTATCTCAATACGTTTCAAAACTTTCAGCATAATTCAGAGAGCATAAAGGGCTGGAATTGGTTTGGTCCAGTTTAAAAGTGAACTGTAAACGTGGTTGCTAAAAAACAAAGAAATCTTCCACAACTCTTTTCCTAGATTGAATAAAATCTTATCATTTCCAAAATCACATTAGTAATTATGAGACTTTTTTTTTGAGCATACCGAGATATCTAAATTTTCTCAGTTGTCCATGAAAAGGAGGAGTGATTTCAGTTCTTAAATGATGTATTTTCAAATTTGTGTATTTATTGATGCCACGGAAATACCACAAGTACTGCCACCCATATGCGCTTGTAAATGCCACTGCCCATCTGCTGCTCTAGGTGTAGCACCTACACCTGTACGTACTCCTGTAGGCCAGAAACCTGGGACAGGCACGAGGCAGCTGTGCCCCAAGCATCATTCCTCAAAGGTAGTTGTTGATATGGGTTTATGTCACTGGAAGTCTTTTGCAAATAGATACCTAACCTGTTTTAGGTACCTCTATAAATTCAGCTGGGGGTCTGTTTGCATTAGTCAGTGTCTTGATATACTTCTAATTCTACCCAGAGGTCACATTTGAATACAGAAAACAACTTGTTAAATCAGTTGCATCCTTATTTGAAATGTTGATACAACTTTTCTTTGAAAATGAATCGTGTTATCAATATAGCTTCCCCATAATTTGAATATTTTGGCTATTTTAAGGACACAAATATGCTGTGAATGACATTGGCTCTTTTCTTTTGCACTCAACTGTCAGTATTTTCTGAAAATAGAAGTCAGGAAGTCTTAATCCTGCATAGAGGAAGAGGCATTTTTTTTCCTAGAAATGTTGCTCTTCCTTCTACTTGTAAGCAATTTATTTTTCATTCTTGGATGTTTCTGAGAGCTGTTAGCAACCTACCCCCAGCAGTTCACCTTTAAAAGCATCATTTTCCTTCTAATATGAATTAAATTTGCTAGTCATATTTTAAAAGAAATAAACTAATGGATTTGGGCAGAATAGTTAGTTTGGTTTCATTTAAAACCGAGTACCATTTGAGAACAGCAAACAGACCCATGTGCTCAAAGCGCGGCCGTCGCAGGGCTGCCCATGTGGATCTGTTAGCAGAAACGGGCTCAAAATTGCCAATCTATCTCGTGTTACTCACGTTTTCAGTGTCGTATCAGACACCTCAACATGCTGTGTTCGTATGACTATATTCTTAATCCTTTGCCCACATTAAAGCCTTAAAAGCCGAACTCTGAACAGCTTCATATCTTCTCTTCTTTTATTTGTATGCATTCCTTTCCTGAAGTCAACTGTGACCGTTTCAAAGAGAGCACACGCTCTGTACACCGCAGATCCCGAAAGTCTAAAAGAGGTCTGTGCTAAGCAACCATCATTTGATTCGAGCTGTAAATGAGCTGAAATGACTTGATCTGTCTGGTTTATTTTTCGTGCCTTTGATCTCTTGCAAACCAGAAGGTGGAGAATATTGTCACTGAGCGATTAGACATAGGGTCCCCTGTCCCGGAGCGATGGGATCTCGCCTGGGAGAAGTGCTTCAGACTCGGAGATGTTTAGGTTCGGGTCGGCCTGGCTTTGGGGAAGAGGGGGATTGGGTCCCACAGCTGGTGCCATCACTGTGGACCTCTCCTTGTGCTCTGTGCAAAGCCCCTTGCATTGGTAGTGGGGAAAATAGCTCAAAAAGTGGTTTCCTTACTTCATCCCTCTCATCAGACCTGCCCTCGGCGCCTGTTTGCCAGTGGTACTAACAAGCATGTGTCCCTTGCTGCAGCAATCATCTGCAAGAATCATGCTGATACCATTCAGATTTAGAAGGAAGCCTGTACTGGATTTCTCCATAAATATTTAGAGTTTGGTCAATGGACATTTCAGGTGGATCCCGAAAACTACGAGTTTTGCTCCTTTCCTTTTGCTGCCCACAAAGGAAACTTGTAAAATTAAACCGTGCTTGAAATGGGGTTTTGTAGTCAGCGAGCCTCAGAAATACTGCAGACCATGAACATACCAGGAGAACTCTTCTGCCTCGGAGCAGCTGAGAGAGCCCAGTTCTTGTTCAAGCCGTCTTAGAGAGGAAGATGGTCCCACCAGAGAGCTCATCAGAAGCTGGAGGTGGAGGGTGGTGGTAGTCAATAAGTGTGGACCAAAGCAAAGCAGAGATCTAAACGTTTGTCTTTTAAACCTGGTGATACCCGGGTCTTCCAACCAAGAAGTGCTGTAGATTCCTGAGTGTCACTTGTGCAAATAGGCGAGAGGCTTCAGTTCCTTAGGGGAATGAGGGCAACCATGTTGCTAAGCAGCTACTTACGAAATGCACGTGTTGTGTTGGAACCTGTGTCTGTGTCCATGGGCTTGGTGGGCTGCGGCCACCAGTCATTACACTAGAGCAATTCAGAACATGTGTGAAAATGACATGCCAAAAACACTGCACCTTGGTTTTTCTTTTTGAAATAACTTTGATAGCTTTGCTTCCTTCCCTCTCCTTGTGACCGGAGCAGAAAGGAACAGGCGGAGTGGCCGGCAGCACCCGGTTTCTACAAGGAGGATGGTGGCGCTCTATGATTATGATCCGAGGGAAAGTTCTCCCAACGTCGATGTAGAGGTACCGACGTAGCTTTTCCCTGTATGCCCATAATTCAGTTAATACGTAGCTGGCATTAGAAAGCAGTGTTGTACAGTACAGTTGACATGTATAAAAATAACAGAAAGTTCATAATTATAAACTTGTTGATGTTTGTAGACAAATGGTTGCAGACAGATGTATATTTAGGAAAGGTTCATGACCAATGAGCAGTTTAGATTTATGGCTCTTGCTCAAACACATTCAAGGAAGATCCTTTCTGTGATTTATATGCTGTGGCTCAATGCATTACAACACATTGCATAGCGTAGTACAATACATATATCTCTATATAATATAAAGTAGAGTATGAGGAAAAACGCAGTTACAAATAGTAAGGAATAATTATTTCCCCAATATTATTTTCAAATTTCCCTCACATGTTTCCAGATAAGAGGAGGATTATTTTCTAGAAGCAGCCGAGCTCAGACTCACAAACTCATAGCGTGGATCATGCTTGTAGTTGCCTCTAATAACCCACCTTGCATCTGAGCAGCAACGTGAGCTGTCGTGTGTCCCTCTTTCTGCAGGCTGAGCTTACCTTCTGCACAGGGGACATTATCACCGTCTTCGGTGAGATTGATGAAGATGGATTTTACTACGTAAGTTGTCTTTCATCTGCCTGGTTGAACTGCAATGGGAACAACTCTTGCTGGAGGGATTAGGAAATGGCAGTCTGGCTGGACATAAGGGTATAGTTCCAGCCCGATATTTCATGGAAATAGCTATGAAACTAACTTAAAAATCAACTTATATGCTATGCATGGAAGCTCTTTCAAAAAGGGGTTTGCATCACGATTCCCGTTTTCCCAAGAGGAGAGAGCATTACTGCACTAAAGGTGGCTCACAGCTACCAAAACACTTGTACTTATGGATTGTTATTCTTAGGAATAGTTTGCCAGTTTCGCCTCTAGCATTTTGCAGGTAATGTTGATTTAGTTATAATATTCACTCAAATGGAAATCTGTCCACCTTCTTACAGGGTGAACTTAATGGACAAAAGGGGCTGGTTCCTTCCAACTTTCTTGAAGAAGTGCCTGATGATGTTGAAGTCTATCTGTCCGATGCACCCTCACGATATGTTCAAGACACACCGATGCGTACGAAAGCAAAAAGGGTAAGCAACTGAATAAGGAAAACCTTAGATTTTTATTTTCCATTGCATTCTGTCTCATATATAATTTAGACATTAATTTTAACATTTTTAACTCCATTTGCCCATTTTAAATTATTTAACTTTCAACTATATAAAAGGTAGCAGAATAAGGAAAAGTGATTTTGCTTAGCTTTTCACCAGCATGTTGCAAACATTTGTAAATGAAGGATCTAAATCTAAAATTTAATTGCAGTCATTAGAGTGTCTCAGTTAGTTAGTTATAAATGGAGTATTGCCAGCTTTTCCCTGGAGAAAATAGTTCCTAACGCTTCTTAACTATTCCTACTACATGCAGTGCCTAGGTGAAAACAGGAGTTCTTGCAGAGGACAGACTGGTACAAGCATTCCTTTAAATTCAAATCGTAGAAGCAACTGACACTGTTCATCTCTTAACTCTTAAGGTTTCCCATTCCAAATGGCATTAGTTAACTGCCCACAGACTTCTCTCTTATGAAAGACTAGTCATGTTTAGAGTTTCTCATTTTTGGTTTTGTTTCATCACTGCAATACCTTTATATATTATATATTTTATATATATTTTTATTTCTTTGCTCATCTGCTTGGAAACAGAAGAAGAGTGTTCATTTCACACCTTAATAAGGCAATGTAGCCTTCACGTAAGTGAGCAACTGAAGATACCAATAAAGATACCAATTCAAGCTACCTGACTATCTAATGCAAGTCTTGAAACTTAACTGTGGGGAAAGAAAAGAAATATGTCTCCAAAATCATTGGCCACAGAGAACAGGCTGTATGCGCTTACTATATCTACGCCAATCAATTTATCTTTTTCGGAGACAAATCCTTTAAAAAGGAAGTCTTGGAACTGTAGTCAATTAGGCCTTGCTTGATGAAGGCCAATGTTTGGAGCATATTTCTTCCTGAGCTAAATGTTTCTGTTTACATGGACAGGAGAGTTTGATGTTTAATGGCCCTGCAAGGAGAGCTGCGTATTGCATTGCTAGCCAACCTGAGAGGTGCAGAGTCCTCACAGCCCCTAAGAGAAAAAGCACAACCCAGCCCCAGCCCTTCCAGAACATGCGAGTGACATGGAAGCTGATGAGGTCTCTAGTTCACAGGAGGAGAGTTGGCTTTGAAACTCCTTAAATTCAAATATAGCTACTTATAGCTGCCTTAAAAAGTATTTTTTCCATGATCGATTATACCCCTGTTTGCCTAACTCTCAACAATTCTGAGCAAAACAAATACCTTTGGATGCTGACGTGGAGTAGGACTTGGAGAAAGGACACCCATTTGAAATACTAGCAACTGTTTGGTTTACCAATGCAATAGAAGTCTTGATATGAAACATGCAGCTCGCTCAGTGAATGCATTAGACTAAATATATGGTATCTTCAGGTGTACGTTGGGGTGCTTTACTAAGTTGTTTTTGTTTTGTTTTGTTTTTTCATTAGAATTAGACCTTGATTTAAAATCAAAGTTGGCTTGAAGCTCCTTTGCTTAATTCACTGTTGCACAACAAGGCAGTAAATTGCTAATGTTTTAAATACAAAATATCCGGGGTCCCTAAGGCATGGATTCTACTACGAAAATACCTTAACATATAATACCATGTTTTGTCAGCAGGGCACTGTAGTTACCATAGGCTTAGTATAAGTAGTTTTAGCCTTTTCATCCGAGTGTTTTTGATGATTAAAAAAAAATATATATAGCTCTGTTTAAACTATTTTAGGAATACTGTCATTCTAACTGTCGTACAAGGCTTCGCTTCCACTCAGCAACCTCATAGCTGCAGCATCCACATCGAACACGCAGGGTCTTTAAGCTTTCTTTGATTGCAATTAAGGTTCATTTTAGCTTTTTTTTTTTTTCTTTCTTATTCTTTCTTTCTTCTTCTACTTTTTTTTTTTAATTAAGCCAGTGTGCCATCCTCTCCAATATGTATATATGCTATCGAATTTTAAGGAAAAGGCATTTAAAAGGAATGAAAAATGAGGGAAAAGAAGGGAGGGAGGGAGGGAGGGTTTCTGTAGCATTGCAGTGATTCCTTCTGGAAAGGGTTTGGCTTCCACAGACTGCTAATCTGTGGCAATTAATTACCAAGTTCCAATTTTCTTAAATCCGTTGCTACAAGTGTCCCTCTTCATTTGCGTGCTCACTGTCAAGAGTACTGTAATGCAAATCCACTTTGCTGGCTTTTGCCAGAACTATGGCCAAACCACTTTATCCAACTCTGTTTAAAAGTGTTACCAACTTTGGGCTCTACTGCAGTGTGTGTCTTGCAATGCCTGTATTTTTTTCTCAAAATACCAATATTGGTTTCCCTAAGTCCCTACGGCATGTTAAGCCATAAAGAAGTGAACCAGACCTTTTATTTAAGTGGGCAATGGGACAAGTGATGTTACCAGCTTGTTTTGATGCTAATAGCTTTTAAGCTTTCAAACATTCAATAAATTATAACAATGTACCTAATAGGTTCCTCCTGAGAATACAGGTACACCAAGGAGAGCACCATCCCCCACAGTCCATCTCCATTCTGGGTCACCTACGTCATCTGTGGGTTCTGGTAGTCCCGGGAGAGGCAGGGATATGTCCTCGAAAAAGAAAAAGGGGCTGCTTTCCAAAGGCAAGAAACTGCTGAAAAAGCTTGGTGCAGTGAAATGAGTCATGTACTCCTGGACAACTTGTAAAGCTTCCACTCTGTGTATTTTTTTATTTTTTTTAATCATCAAAACTAGGGCTTTCATGACTATGCAGTGCACCTTACTGAACCCTTGGCATTTTTAACTCTGTCATCATGCGAATCGCCTACTCAAAGTGGCAAGGAAAAAGCAAGTGCGTTTGTTCCTGCTACAAGTCATGTCACAAATACAATAAAATTATTATAAAAAAATAAAGGTGAGGGGAAGAAATTTGGAGGAGGGAAAATACAAGCAGAAGGAGAACATTGGTTTAGCTGAGGTCACCTCTACCCCCTAACTTCATTGGATATAGCTCAGCATTTAGTCATCTTTAAGCCGCGAGGGGAAAGAAAACCCTCTGCACTGATGCTGGTTCAAAGCAATCACCCCTGCCCTACTCTTTATCCTGAAGGATGGTCTTGAAACTCCTAGTTTAATCAGCCTTGATGTTTTGCCTTATTAATGCACAATGATTTGTACTGTCTAATAAATATACAGCGTATACTTTGTATGTACTGTGTATTCAACTGTCTTCATCTTCCCTAAAACATGGTAATTTAAGATCAAATACTATGTTGCTGACTCCATTTAATGTCTGATGTAACTCCTGGGAGTTTGAAAGTGTTGTGCAAAACGTTTTTTTTTTTTCTCCTTAAAAAGAAAAAACAAAAATGCCCGTATTTGGATTTCTTTTTATCAACATATTCACTAAAGCCAGATACAGCCTCAGTTACTCAGAGAATCCACCCACAGGTTAAAGTATCCAAACCCCACTTTTCACATTCCTGGTTCAGTATTCTAAATGAGTTTTAGAATTTAAAAAAAAAAATTTGTTCCCTCTCTTTTTTGCTGTGTTTGGCATTTTCATCTTGTTGTCAGATTCACACTAAAATGCATGTCTAAACTCAAATAAAAAAAAAAAAACTGTTATATACACAAGCCGTAGCCAGGGAAAAGGCTGCAACACCTGGAAAAAAAATTATCTGCAATATTGGCATCTCAGTAATAATAAAACTTTACACATTGATGGCAGTCATTGGCTGTGACTATTTTGTAATTCTTGTCCATTTGTAAATTGTTTTTACTGTTTATACATACTTTTCAGACTGCCTTTCTTTTTGTAATTTATGGAAGGTTTATAAATGAATGATCAAAGCTTCCCCATTGTGTCTTCAGATAATAATGTAAATTATTGTAAGATAACCGTGTGCTAGATTATAACATTTAATTTAAAGAAGAAATAACTGGCCTAAATGTGTGGTAAAGTACTGTGTGGGTGTGTGCATGTGTACAATGTTGTGTAATATATTTTATATAAATAAATGATTTCATATTTTGTAGACTGCAGTATGTTTTGTATACCTGCTGTATGAGCTTCCTGATTGAGGTGCTTGCTCCCTGTTTTATCCTGTGTGTCTTTTTTAAAACACCTACCATCACTCCAAAAGGATGTGTTAAGATGATGTTAACGGGCAGGAAGATGCTGAAATACTGCACCCCAGTGGAGCAGGACCAGGCTGCAGGGCTCCTCTTCTACCTTTCCAGAGCTAAGCGTGGGGAGCAGCTCCAGCAGCTTCTTCATTCACCTCAAATAACAGAAATGTTATCAGAATAAATGACAGAACCTGTCACAGGTATAAACAGATTATCTACAGCTAGGAAGATATAAAGAGACGGCAAGTCGTGAACAGAGAAAGCTGCCCACAAGTGACATGCAGTAGTAAAACATTTTTTTTTTGTATTGGGGAAGAAAAGCCCCCCTTACTCTCTGTTACAAATTTCATGGTAAAGACCTTGGTCCAGACCTCTCAAGCTAGAAAGGAACTTTTTAGAAGCAAACTCAACAAACACAATCACACAAGCAAATACTATTGCAAGAACAACTTTATTTAAATCTCTCAAAGAAAAGGAACAAGTTTTGCAACAGTTAAATAGAAAAAAAGAGAAATAAAAGAAAGCAGCAGTAATTCAAATATCTCCCTTTCCATATGCACTACTTTGGCCACCTCGTTAATACAAAAAATAATGTTTTTTTAAAAAAAAAAAATCTCAAATTTGACAAACAACTGCAGGCTTTTTTTTTTTTTTTCTCTCCTTAGGAAATTAAGCTAGTCTTGTGCAATAGTTACCTATGAAAGTCTTAGAAGCATGTGAAGTGTTGCATAAAATTACATTCTAACTAATTGCAAATGCCTAACAGAAAGATAAGGAAAAAATATCCATGAATCATACAACTATCTAGGATGCTCTTCTTTGCAAACCATGGCTGATGTAGGCACTGATATTTTTGGACAGAAATTAACTGAATGTCCGTTAAATGAAAAAAAAACCAAAAAAACAAAAAAGTCAACCAAGGTAGTTTTGTTCAAATTAGGTATTTGTGGTTATCTAAAACAATGATTTAATTATACTATGCTATTAATACGACTTCTGTACTAAGAGAAAGCATGTTAAAAGTCCATGCTAAGTAATTAAATCCCCCGTAACCGCATTCAAGCTTGGTAAAACTCATCACTTCCAGGTGAAAGGAGTCTGTAGTTTCAGATAATACAGATGCTCCTGTATCTCTGACAGATACAGAAATAATTTTCCCTGACTTCTCATGCAACTTTGGCATCCTTACAACTTTTCCCTTAGTTTATGCCAGTCTAAAAATCCCATTTCCTCTACTGCTAGGAAAAGAAGTGAACACAAAGTTTGCATTTTACCATTTTAATTTCCCTGCAATTCACTTGCCGAGTAAGCATTAAAAATTCTGCCCCACATGTTACAGCAGTATGCAGTCACTATGAATAGCTGATTGCTTTCCTCTTTTCTGGGGGCAGTTGATATGAAATAGATCAGGAGACAAAACTTTGCCCACTTTTTAACAGCCAAGAAAACAAAGCAGAATTCAACCACCTTTTGAAAATGAAGAGTTAAATGTGAAAACTGGAGAAGCCTGGATTTTGGTCAACATAACTGAAAACCTCATATGGTAAAAAAAATTATGCAGAAGACTTCCCAAAGACATAAATAAGACAAAGAATAACTGATATTATTTAGTGAATAATCCAAGAGAAAAAAAATTGCACACTTCTTATAGCCAGCAGAATCCCTTACAATGAAAATAAAGTTCTACAGCAGTGCATTTACATTACCCGACACATGAAATTACCTTTAAAGAACAACACCCCCCTGACAATTATACATGCTGTTGTGCACTACATTTTGCAGGTGACATTTAACCTTCAAAGGTAGTAGAGTCTGTCTGAAAGGGACAAGTTTGGTTCCCTGTGAATACTCTGCCCTACAAGGAAAGCCAGTTTATGGGCGTACTGGCAAGGAGCAGGCACTCGGATGACACCCTAGAGAAGGGAAGAAGAAGAAAAAGGAATTAATTTTCAGTGAATTTACCAAAGCATAAAGCATGCATTGTAAAAAAGGATTCTGGAATTCAGAAGTATTGGTGTGTGTGAAGTTTCTATTCCTTGTAACTTATGCAAATTTGTCAGACATTACATACATAGAACGCATTAAAAATGTGTTTTATAGAAACACAGATGCAGACAGGTTCTCTCCTCCCTGCCCTGCCTGCAAGAGAAACAAAAAAAAAGAAACAAACTGCCATGCAGGTTTACATTCAGTGCTGTTTCACACAGGGATGGGAATTCCAGTGTGTTATTCACCACCAAACTGACAAATCTAATATGCACTTCAGACATGAGCTGACTGTGTGCTGATCTTAGCATGCAAAAGCAGAGGTCCTGAGGGAAATGGAGATGCAGCTCTACCTCCATTCCACAGAAAGGTGGAAGTATTTCTGCAAGTAAGAAACCATGACTTCACTGTGCTTATTACAAAAGATTTGGGGACAATTCAAAATGGCAAATATCCTGTGGCGAGACTAACAATTACCTTTGATTTTCAAACTTTAGAAACATAAGACAAGTTATCACAATTAGTCCTCAGACCACTACTCCAGGTCACGAGGCAAAACTGCAGGCTTTTTGGCTCAATATGGGTGTTCCAAGTTTACCTTCTTCCACCTTCCTCTGCACCTCATAAACCTAACCTGTTATTACTGCATAACGATGCTTATTCTTAGAGAAAAAAATACTATCCTTTCCCAGAGAAAATACTTACCGACCAGTTATAGTACATGTGGCAAAGTTTGTAGGTTAAACGTTGTACGTGATCTGGTTTCAATCCACTGCTGTCATAAATTACATTATAATGTGTGGGCGCAACACTACCACTTTTCACTGCCTGGCTCACAATGAAGAAATCATACCTGTACCAGAGAAACAAAACCCACAGAAGTTTCGCAGGAGTTTTATTTTCAAAAGGGCAGAAGTGTGGAAAACACAAGAGTACTTTCCACATTGGATACACTCCCCTTTATTATGGGATGCTAACTAACAAATATTACTCACCATTCTGGTCTGGTAACCTCTACATCAACAACAGTTCCAGGGGGTGGATTTTGAGGTCTCCCACCAGACTGGGCAAAGAATCTGGTGCTTACTCGTTTCTTCACAACTATCACACTCAGTCTGGGACTAAACAAAAACAAAAAACAAGCAAACAAACAAACACAACAACAACAACAACAACACTGAAAAAATGCACCAAGAGTATTGCAGGAGCAGATTCTCTAGGGTGTCAACTTGAAAGCAACTTCAGTTCTCTAGGGCATTTATTTTACAGATGAAGTCCCTACTGATTCATTTCTTTGGAATAAATAGGACATTGCATGAAGACCCCAAGTGATCTTCTAAATACAAATCTCATGCTGCTGTATTTCCACCCCATCTTTTGGGTATAGCCAACACTGCTGTGCTTTAGCAGTATTCTTGGTAAAACGGAAGCCACTGACAGAAGCTGAACAGAAGCAAGCACTTCAATTCCCAGCAGCTGGAACTTATTTTGTGATCTTGCCTGCTGTGTCACAAATAATCTGCACTAAATAATTAAGAAACAAGAAGTCAAAGAACCACTTAAATGAACAGCACTTTTAGAGCAAAATCATATCAACTGCTTGAGCAGAATGTAAGTGTCTAGACAACAATCCTTATAAAAGTGGAAAGAAAAAGTTAACACACA